GCGGCAGAGAACAGCAGCGGCGACAGCGGACAACCATTTTGAATGCCTGCAAACATCTCAAAGCCTTCGTGCTGCCAGCCGCCAGCGACCACGACGCACATGTTCTGGCGGTACAGCGTTGTCACGAAGCTGCGCAACCACGCTGGCAGTCCGATTGCGCCCACGGACTCCTGCAGGAAAGCGTGCGAAACACTGGGGAAGGCCGCTTTGAAATCGAAGAAAACCGCCATGCCAGCATCTTGGCCCGGAGCCGTCTGCATCATCGCCCCGTCGATGTCCACTACGTTAGCGATCATGGACCGCCCGCCCACGAAGCCCCGCTGCCAAGGCGAGATCCACTCAGAGAGGTGCGGTTCGATGCGAAGTCTAACTGTGGTCGCCAGTTGTCGGTTGTCGCTGCTAGCGATGTTCAGCGGCCGGGTGTCTCCAAGGTCGAAGAAGTCCCCCGCCTCGGCATCTGTGCCCGACGGCGTCTTCGGGAGGAACGCCATCCGGCTGCTGTTGGAAGCTCCTTCTGGTGAGAGCCCCTCCAGGAAAGCGCCCAATGCTGGCCCGTCGCCGCCTGCTGCAAAACCCTGTAGAGCATCGCGAAGCACCTCGACCGTAAAGGGTCCGAATTGACGCCAGGCCAGGAGGGGGATGCCGTCTGGTCCTGGTGAGATTTTCGGGGAGGGCTCCACCGCCGCCTGCGCGTCTGCACGCCGCGGGCGCCACTCCTCGCCGTCAGGCGGCGGCAGTCCGTCGGAGGACGCGTCCTCCTGCAGCCGCTGGCGCAGCAAATTGCGGTCAACTTGGCAGGCCGCGAACACAGATGACCAGCGAGCGCGGAGGGCAGCCTCAAGGTCGGTCACGACCTCCCCGCGCAGATTCCGCACCGCCGGCACTGCTGCGCACCGCCCAGGCGAGAGTCGGCGCAGAATCTGGAAAAGGCCCTCCCTGCGTTTGTCGCGTTCCGCACCGCAGCTCCCCCCGCCGCCGTGCAAGTCTTCCAGCTGGCCGATGGCCGCCTCCCGGGCCAGCTCCACAGCGTGTTGTCGGTAAGCGTGGAGTCCGGCGCCGCGAAGGTACACCAGTTCCAGTGGGTCCGCCGCCAGCGAGGCCAGGTGGGGGTAGCGCAACAGACATCTGCGCATCACGCCAGCGCTGCCGTCCTCCGCCGCGCGCACAAACCGCAAAGCGTAGCCCACCTTATCTTCCGTGGCAATATCCTCGCGGGTCCGTTGCGGTCGTTCGGCGGCCATGCGGTCGAAGACAATGCGAATGGCCAATTTGAGCAGCATCAGGCGCCGTAGAGGGCAATCAGCGCTGCTGTCCGCGGCCAGGTGCTCGTGGCACTCAACTGCTACTCAGCCGGCCCATGCAGGGTCGCGGAGCATCGGCGCGGTGATGGGTTGCACCCCGTCGCGTGTGCGGGCGGGCGCGCGTCTCCCGAAGGCCATTGCCCGGTGCGCCGAAAGATGTGGAACCCATTCCAGAGGGGTGCAGAAAATGTGTCTGTCCAGTTGCTCGGACATCGCCTGGTTCCAATACGCCCTGTCAAGGCGAGATCGCGCAGCTGCTGGGTCATTGCCAGCCGCCGCAGCTCATGAAGCTCGAAAGGCCGAGCTAACACTGATTGGACATGGGATTCGTCTGCAGCGTCCCGTCCGCCAGAATACTCCCCCGTCGCCTTCGCAAAGCGGTCGCGGGCATCCGAGACCCAGTTGAAGTCCCCAAACAGCACGGACAGAGCAGCGCGTGCTGGCGCCATTGCCGCGGCCAGCCTGCATCGCATATCGCTGCGTTGCCGCCTCGCCTGCTCCTCATCTGTTCCTAACTGCTGCTGCGTGCTGTCTCGCGGCCGCAGTGGTCCAGAAGCGCTGGATGTAGCAACATATGCTGTGTAAATTTCAACTGCACCTGCAGGGCCACCAAGACGAAGTACCGCAGCTCGCCCTGGAACAACGATTTGCCACCGCGTGAGCGCAGGATCGAAGTGTTGCAACAAAGACTTCTTGACGACGAGGCCCACTCCGCCTCTCCGAAAGGTCCCAGGAGCAAACCATGCTGAACAGTCCCGCGTGCAATCACATGCCATACCATACCCTCGCCCTCGAGGCCGTGCGTTTCCGACAAGGCCACAAAATCCCTCGTCCGAGCCAGCCGTCTGACGTAGCTGTCATTCGCCAAGTGCCCGCAGCGCCTCCGTGCGAACAACGCCTGGGTGTTCCAGGCGGTGCCACGCATCTCCCCGGTGAAGGGCGCCAGCACGAGTCCATGACCCGCAGGCAGCTGCTCCTCGGGCCCGTTCGGTGGTGGACTGCCTGCCTCGTGGGGCGGCGGTGGAAGAACCCGTCGTGGTCTCCGTAGCCGAGGTGCGGGTCCTGCAGGCGGTAGGTAAGGAAGCTGGGGAACAACGGCACCTTGCTGGGGAAGGTCGGGTAGAAGAGGTGGATCAAGAGGTAGATGAGGATCAAGATGAACATTACATGAACGTGCAGACAGAAATTGCTGTGCACCAGGTTGAAGACAGAGAGGGACATCGCCGCGGTCGACACGGCGGACATGCAATGCGAGGTCTAACACTCAAAATCGTAACCCTGATCTGGTGGTGGCCTCAATTGGAAAAATATCCGGACTCAAACCGTGGGCTGGTCGGGAGCCCCGCCGCTCGGGGCTGCGGCCGCGGGGGCGGGGCCCCGGCCCCCCCGTCCCCGCCTGCCGTTTCCCTGCTGCGCCTCCAACTCGTCGTTCGTCAAGCTCACGCTGATGAGGTCCGGCCCCAGCTGCACCGCCCGCCCGTGCAACTCTTGCATGATCCTGTTCGCGTCGTCAAACGAGTCCAGGCGTAACTGTGTCCTGCCTGGATGGGCGGTGGGGTCGAGATCCGCGAGGCGGAGCCACGTTTCACTGCCCGCCCCCATCTCCCCCCCAATCGCTCGTAGCACTATGCCCGTCCTGTCGCGGATCACGTCCATCAGGCGACGGGCAACTCGCGCCGGGTCGTGGCCGAGGCTCCCCGCCAAGGTCAACGTGGACGTCGTAGTTGCGCGCCCTCCCCGTGGAGCTCCCCCAGCTCCAGCTCGTCGGATCGATGCCGCATGTTGTGGAGTCGCCGTCGGCGTGACATTTCGTCCAGCACGGGCCGCCAATCGTCGGGTTGCACGGCGGTGCGGATAATGACCAACTTGGGCTTGCTGAACACGACCTCCTCACAAAGATGCCGCATCGAGAGGAAGGCATCGATTCATCGCAGGGGTGCCTGGCGTGCTAGACTTCTTACGGTTTTGGTTTTAGTTCTTTTTCCAAAAGAACTCCCCCTGGGGCTTCGGCGCGTCCCGCCGGCTGACTGCCTCGTCGGCTTTTTCGCGCAAGATGGCCCAAGATAGCCTCCAAGATGCCTCCAAGACGGCCAAGATGGCCTCCAAGACGGCTAAGATGGCCTCAAGACGCCTCCAAGACTGCCCAAGATGCACCCAAGACGGCCTAAGATAGCCTCAAGATGGCCCAAGACAGCCGAAGAGGCCCCGAGGAGGCCGCCAAGACGGCCCAAGACGGCCCAAGAGGCCTCCAAGAGGTCCTTCAGGAGGGCCCGAAGGCGTCAAAATCATTGACTGTCCTTAGGTTTTTGAAGGATTTTGGCAATTGCCTCTTCTCGGCATTCCGACGGCTCAAGACGGCCCAAGAGGCCGCCAAGATCGCCCCCAAATCTCCCACAAGGCCTCCAAGAGGGCCCCATGACGGCCCAAGAGGCCTCCAAGACGGCCCCAAGAGGGCCTCCAAGACGCCCAAGATGGCCTCCAAGACGGCCCCGAAGCGCCCCAAGAGGACCCCGAGTCGGTTCAGAGAGGCCCCCAAGACGGCGCACGACGGCGTCAGACGGGCCAGGAACCCACCAAAATTGCCGAAGTTGGCTCGAAGCTGGCCCAAGACGGCCCAAGAGGCCTCCAAGAGGGCCTCCAGGAAGGCCAGAAAAGGCCAAAAACACTGAGTTTCCTAAGGCTTTTCAAGGATTGTGCCATTCGCTTCTTTTCGGCCTTCCGACGGCCCGAGACGGCCCAAGAGCACCCAAAGATCGCCCAAAGATCGCCCAAGAGGCTTCCAAGATGGGCCCAGAACGGTCCAAGAGGCCCCCAAGACGGCTCCAAGAGGCCCCCAAGACGGCCCAGGAGCCCTTTAAGACACCCAAGATGGCCTCCAAGACGGCCCTGGAGCATTCCAAGAGGGCCCCAAGTCGGCCCAGAGAGGCCCCCAAACGGCTTCCGACGGCGTCGGACGGGCCAAGAGCCCACCAAGACGGCCGAAGATGGCCCTAAGATGGCCCAAGACGACCCAAGAGGCCTCCAAGAGGGCCTCCAGGAAGGCCCGAAAAGACGAAACATACTTAGTCTCCATTAGTTTTTTAAAGATTGTGGCATTTGCTTTTTGTTCGGCCTTCCGACGGCCCGAGACGGCCCAAGTGCCCCCAAAGATCGCCAAATAGGCCCAAGACGGCCCCAAGAGGCCCCCAAGACGGCCCAAGAGGCCTCCAAGATGCTCAAGATGGCCTCCAAGACGGCCCAAGAGCCCTCCAAGACGTCCTCCAAGAAGGCCCGAAAGGGTCAAAATGGCCTCCCGACGGCCAAAATGACCTTCAAGATGCTCACGTGTTCCCCGAAAGCTTTCCAAACCGATTCGTTGAACACATGATCCGATAGCTTGGCAGGTCTGGCCTCAACGTTCGGCCACATAGGTGCTTCCAAAAAGGCAGGGGGCGGCGGTGATTCGCCGTAGGCGTCTTTGATAATCAACATCACTTTGGCGGTTTTCTGGCAACACCCTCCTGCCATAGAGGGAGGGAGGGAGGAACAACACGCGTGTGGGAAAGAATCGTCAGCGCCGAAATGTGCAATCTGCATTGGGCTGGTCTGGGCAGAAGGCTGTTGCAATTCACTGCTGACTGATTTTCGACCTCGCAATTGTGCGCTTGACCGCAACGCGCCCCCTCGTCCCTTAGAGGAGCGGGACAATCTTGGTCCTGCACGCACTTCGCCGCACCCAGGCCCTTGGCCTCGGACAAGTACCCGTGCATCACCTCCACGAGGAAAAGGTGGAGGCAGGGGAGGATAGGAAGATGGAGGAGGGGAATCATGAGGAAGCAAAGCAGGATGAGCAACGGTGATGGGGGCGAGGAGCGACAGTTGAAAGATGCGAGGGCACGAAACATCGTGCCGACAAACATCTGGAATCCTACTGTGTGGAGCCCTCCGGTACGGAACCCTGTCGCGTGGGATTCCGTCGGGGGGGCCATGTCATGTGGGACCCTGACGTGTTGGACACTGTCGTGTGGGACCATCACGTGTGTGAGACCCTGTCGTGTGGGGCTCTGCTGTGAGGGACCCGTCGTCCTGGACCTTATCGACGGGGACCTCATCGTATGCAACCTCATCGTATTGGGACCATATCGTTTGAGACAGTATTGCGTGGGGGGCCATACGGTGCGGGGCCATACAATGATGTGGGATCCTAAGGTGTAGAACCTTATCGTGTGAGACCGGGAGGGCGGCCCAAACATCCGCCGGCCCCCTTGCGGGGCCATCAGGCTGCGTTGCAGAGGTGTCCTGCTCCCTGCGCCAGTTCCAGTTTCCAGTGCTACATTGCTGCTTTCTGTTTCCTACTATAAACTTATTACTGAACGCGCCAGGGGGGGCAGCCGAAAAAGGCCCAAATTACCACGCCCGGATCGCGTTGTCTGAATCCCACCAGCCCTTTGGGCGTGAGTGGTTTAGCGAGCTCTCTCTGTCCTCAACCCCCCTTCTTCCCCTTCGGGGAGGGGTTTACCCCTCCCCCTCCCCCCTCCCCCTGGACCTGGAGAGGGATTCCCGAGCGTCGCCCGGGGGGTCTTTTTCGACTCCTCGGAGGGCCAAAAAACGACGACCCTCACGAGGATTCTGGCCCCGGTGGGGGGGGGGGAGTTTGGCCCCTCTGCTCGTCTTTGAAGCAGAAATCATTGATTTTACTACGGTTTTGGCCCCATTTTGGCCTTCTGAAGGGGGCCGCGCTCATCTTCCCTCATAGCAACATCATTGATTTTACGAAGGTTTTGGGCTCATTTTGTCCTTCTCAGGGGGCAGCTCTCCTTTGCGCTTCTGCGGAGGTCGCAAGAGGCCCCAAGATGGCCCCAAGAGGCCCCCAGGAGGCTCCCAAGAGGCCTCCAAGAGGCCCCCCAAGAGGCCCCCCAGAGGCCCCCAAGCGGCCCCAAGAGGCCCCCAAGAGGCCCCAAGAGGCCCCCAAGAGGCCCCACGAGGCCCCAAGAGGCCCCCAAGACGCCCCCAAGAGGCCCCCAAGAGGCCCACGAGGCCCCAAGAGGCCCCCAAGAGGCCCCCCCCCAAGAGGCCCCCAAGAGGCCCCACGAGGCTCCAAGAGGCCCCCAAGAGGCCCCACGAGGAGCCCGAACGACTCACACCAGGACGAGGGGCCCGAACGACTCACACCACGAAGAGCCCGAACGACTCACACCACAAGGAGGGGCCCGAACGACTCACACCAGGACGAGGCGCCCGAACGACTCACACCACGAGGAGCCCGAACGACTCACACCACGACGCGGGCCCCGAACGACTCACACCACGAGGAGCCCGAACGAGTCACACCAGGAGGAGGGGCCCGAACGACTCACACCAGGATGAGGGGCCCGAACAACTCACACCACGAGAAGCCCGAACGACTCACACCAGGACGAAGAGCCCGAACGACTCACACCACGAAGAGCCCGAACGACTCACACCAGGAAGAAGGGCCCGAACGACTCACACCAGGACGAGAAACCCCAAACGACTCAAATCACGAGGAGCGCTTTCTCTCCCTCCTCCTCCGCCTCGTCCTTCTCCCGCTCCCCTCACAAGGAGGATGTACAAGGAGGCGGGAGGAAGGAGGAACAGGGGAGACATGCGGGGCCAAGCGGACACACGCCTGAAAAACACGACTGTCGGCATGCTTCGCGAGAGTTGCTGCTGTGAGATGGGCTGGTGGGGATACGCGAAGCGTGAAGAATTTTCGGGGGGTCGTGGGACACGTGAAAATACTTGAGACTCGCGTCCCCGAAGCCATAGTCCCTGGCAGATTAAACAATATTCGCGTTTTCGTGGCTATAAACCGCATAGATTAAGCCATATGTGCGTTCCCGAGGCCATACACCTTCGTACATTACACAATATCTGCGTTCCCGAAGCGACAGAATCTGGTAAATGACTCTGTGTTCGCGTCCCAGAGGCCATACACTTTGTATATTACACCATATTTGCGTCCCCGAGGCCATACAACTGCGTAAATTATATCATAGTTGTGTCCCCGAGGCCAGAAAGCCTTGTACACTACGCAATAGTTGCGTCCCCGAGGTCAGCATCCTTCGAACATTGCGCAATGTTCGCGTCCCCGATACCATAAACCTTGTAAATCCCACCAGCCCTTTGAGCGACAGGTGGTCTACGGAGGGTCTCTTTCCTCTTACACAGCCCCTTCCCTTAGGGGAGGGGAACCGTCCCCCTCCCCTCCCCTAGGTTTTTGGGAAGAATTCGCGAGTTGTCGGAGGCTAATTGTTCGGCCGTTGGGAGGGCCATTTTCTGCCACCCCTCACGAGGACGTGGCCCCCGAGGGGGGGACCTGAATCGAGTACCCCCCCTCATTTGACCGACGGCCTCCAAGATGGCCCCAAGAGGCCCTCTAGGGGTCCCGAGAGACCCCCAAGAGGGTTCCATTAGCGCCCCAAGAGGCCCCAAGAGGGCTCCAAGAGGCCCCCGAGAGGCCTCCATGAGGCCCCCGAATGGCCCCCAAACGGCCTACCTCCAAGATGGCTCAAGATAGTCCAAGCTGGCTCAAGATGGTCCCAAGATGCCCCAAGAGGCACCAAGTCCGCTCCAAGACGGCTCGAGACGGCCACGGAGCCTCCCCAGGAAGCCGCCGAGATGCCCCAATCCTTCAAAAGTACCGAACATGAATGACTATGCGTGTGTCTTCCTCTCTCCCCCCGTCAACTCTCATGGGGCATCGTTTCTGGATGGGCTGTGGATACACGAAGCGTCAATCATTACGGAGTATGTGCGTCCCCAAGGCGATACACACTCGTAGACTACACGAAGTTCGTAGATATAGCAACGTTTAGATTGCAAGGTCCTCACAAGGAGCGATCAATTTCAGCTTTGCAGTGCAAGCCGTAACGTACGACATTAGCCATCGCTCGTGGTTCCGACACTGCACCACGACGGCGCCCAGGCCTTTTCACACAGCTCTTGCACATACCGTATACCATTATTTGCAATAGGGGGGTGGCGACAGTGGGCGAATCCCTTCCTGATAAATTCCCAAAACGAGAACCGAGGAGAACACAAAGAAAGCCTTGGACGTAGTATTAGCTCGTGAGCAAACAGATCCACCGAACCCCGTGTCCGAGGTGAGACAGCGTGTAAGATGATCGGATGTCCCCTTCCCCAGCCTAAACCATGTTCAATATGGGGTTTGGGCAGGAGCAGCTCAACGCACTTCCCAGGCCCTCGGAGCCTCTATATCCAGCCTCAGATCTGAGATGGCTGCAAGACAAGCCGAGAAGCTCCCCAGACGCCCCAAGAGGGCTGAAATAGGATACCCAAGCGGGCTTCAATACTCAAGAGGACTTCAACAGACCCCAGGAAACCTCAAGAGGCTCTCGAAAGACCTCCCCGAGATCTCCTGAATGAACTCCGCTCCAGACCCCGAGTGACTTCCGAAAAGCCGCGTCATCTTCTCCGCTCCTCCACCTTCTTCCCCCCTCCTGCCAAATCCCAAGCCCGAAAGAGACGGAGCAGCTGGAGCCCCTGCATTTCTCTTCTTCGGGGGGTCGGCGGGGTAGTGCAAATCTACCGCATAAACACATTTAATACAAATGCATCTACGGGGGGGGACCACAAGCCAACCCTTGCACCAAATGCGTCCACGAGATTTCTCGAGCCGCATCGCTCGGTGATGCAAATCCGGAACGGGGCAAAACGCCCGTCGTGATTTTCCACCACGCCTGATGTCAATGGGGCAGGAGGGCGACGATGGAGGAGCGATTATGAAGTCACCTCGCGACTGAACTCTGGCTTCGCTGGCGGTCGCAAAAGCCACAGCTTCTTGCCGTAGACAAGAGAGTCGAACACGTGGCCCTGGTAGCACGCTCTCCTCATCCTTCTCCTGCCTCTTTCCTCCTCTTCCTCCTGCTGCCCTGCTGTAAGACTTGCGGGGAGGGAGGAGCATGGCGGATGAAGCCGGCGACTTAAAGTTCTTAGTTGCCAACGCCACTCCGCACAACTTGCTTCACAAAACCCATGCGGCCACACTTGCGGCTACTGATCAGCACTTGCTAGCGCATCTCTGCGGCCGCGCTGGCGCACGAACGTTCACGCGCAGAGCGACCAACTAGGTTTCCAGCGCATCCTAAAGGCCGCGCTGACGTGCGGGCACTGCAATGCAGGTCGGTGAATCGGGGGGGCGCGGTATCATGTGGCGACGACGACGGCTGCAATGATAATGATAACGGCCATGGTGGTGGCGACGATGACGACGGTAACGCCAATGACGGCGCCGATACTGGTAACGACGATAACGATGATGTTGTCCATATGGCGGTGATGAAGGTGATCGTGCTGGTGATGGCGGCAATAGCAACGACATATTGATGACGATGACGGCGGTGATGCGCTGGCGCTGATAAGGGTATCGAGGAAGTTCGTGCGCGAAGTGATTGAAGAAACTATGCAGGCTGTAGGTTGTCAAACTCTTGATTTGTTGCATGTGTTTGATCAGTTGTTTATTGGAACGCGTTGGGATCAAATGCTTTTGCAAAGAGTCGACACGAACGTGTGGCAACGCGAGCATGTGGCCCGCATGGTATCATGTGGAACGGATTCGCACACTGGGCGCATGCTAGATCAACGCGGATGCACCGCGTGGTCGGATTAGAATGCTGCTTCTGAACAAGGTTGTTAAACTCATATGGTTTTCGCATGGTGTCAGCAAGTGCGCGCGGTCAAGACATCTGTAATATGATCATATGGACACCAATTCGGGTTGTTTGTGTTTGTTATGCTTGATTTTGTTATGTGCGCGCCCGTGTGGTTTTTGGTGGTGCGTGAGTGTTGCAAGGGTTCTCCAACAACAAGTTGTTTGAGGTAAACGAGCGCGCGCATAATACCCCTGACAGAAATCGTGGGGGGTGTCAGTACTGGTTGGGTGACAGACAGATGAAGCAGAGTCATGTGGAAACTGAAAATACGAGAAGGTTGGGGGGTAACTCCGGGCGCGGGGAGGGTGGCAGAAGTGTATGCTTCTTTTGAAGAAGGGTTTTGGGTGGGATATGGGGGCTGGTGGGGGTCTTCGTCTTCTTCTGTTTCTTCTTCCCTCGCCTGCACCTTCCTCTCCCTCTCTCTCCATCCATATCGTGTAACCAACCTCGTCGTTTCCCCTGTACTTCTCCTGTCATGTTTTTCCTGTTGCATCTCTCGACCACTTGAAGCGACAACCGCGCGCCGATGATCCACAGGAAACCCGCCGAGGAGGATGAAGCGGAGGCGCCTATCTGATTCTTTTGGGGGGAAATCCACCGTGCCCCCAAATTGGCCTCAGAAGCTGGCAAAACACCATCCGCACGCACTAGACCCCGGGATACACAGGCCGGGGCACCAATTACGGCCCGCAATCGTATCATCTAGTATTGGGCATCCGCCGTAACGGTCTGGACGGTCACGCGGCGGGGGGGGGGGAGGAAGAGGAGGGGGAGGAATGAGCAGAAGGGGAAGGGGAGGGGACCACATCGGGAACTCGGGAACCATCCTGAAATCGAGGATGGGGTGGTGCGTCCCAAATCAGGATGTTGCCTGCACGACCCTCCCAATTCAGAGGATCTACAATCAAGCGCGCTGAACTGTAAATTCTGTACACTAATGTCCCAACGGAGCGAGACTAGTATGACAAAACATTGCACCGCAATGCCACGTGATTGAGTCGCGTATGAGGCTGTCCACGCGGCCATGCCGTGTGGAGGCGGCAAACCAACGAAGGCAGCGCGGGCAAGCACCGGCTCTCTGAAGGGAGCGGCGAACGAGACCGGGCGGCACGTCGGTGGCCTTCCCCGCGCGCAGCCGGCGGATGGGCAAATTTTCTGCACGGGCGCGGACACCCTGGCGCACGCCGTGCCAAGATCCCGGGAGAGGGGGAGTGCGATGAGGAGAGGCAGAGGACAGAGGACAGGAGGAGAGGAGGGCGACTGCACAGTCAGGACGAACGCTCGGCGCCTCCACAGCCGCGGACACACCTGCCGGCTCCGACAAACATATCGGCACCGCGATTCGGGGGGAGAGGGAAGGCGAGGAGGCAGAAGAGGCGGAGGACGGAGGAAAGGTGGTGGTGGGGCGATGCCATGGGCGATGTGCCGCGGTCTGATTAGTGGCTTCCCTACCCCAGGCCAAGGGAGGCTCAAGAGAAGAAATTGAAAGGGGAGGGCTGGAAGGCATGAGCGAAGGAGACCCTGCCCCTCCACGGTACCCGCCGCTTCGCGCCCTCTTCGCGGGCCGCCTGTCGACGAAACTCTCGGCGTCGTCTCGCCTCCTTCATTTGGGCGGCGATGCGCTCGAGCTGCGCACGGGCGAGGGAGGGGCGTTGAGGGGGGGGCGGCGGCGGCGGGGGAGCAGGAGAGGGGGGCAAAGACAAGCATCGGCCTCGTGTTTGTTCTCCCCCTAGGTCCAGTCAGATGGGGGGCAAGGCCCTCATCAGCCAGAGTCGGCTCAGCTGCTGGGTTGGGTCTTCTTTCCTGGGTCGGAAAAGGCGTCGAAGCGGGATCTGGATCTCTGAGACTATGCAATTCCGGGTCGCACCTCATGCGTTTATTCTTTCCCTGTGCGAAGTCGGGAGATTCCACACATTCATCACAAGTTTCCCTGAAGTAGAACATCGAAGAGACCCTGCGCCGTGTCTGGGTCCTCCCCCTCGGCCTGCATGTCATAGTCGTTAATGTCGGCGTACAGTGCCCTGATGGCCTCCGGAAAAAAACTCCCGCGATGCGTCGGCGCATGTTTGGGGGCAGGTATTCGTCCAACTTGTTTTGAAATCAAATTTGGAGGTCTCGCTTGGAGGACCATGCGGGAGCCTTTGGGGTGAAAGCACCTGCCCTTTTTTCCAGCGCTAAAGAAGCGGGCAGCGAGCGCAGGCATAACGTAGACCGAGATCCCGGCAGGAGCTTTGCCTGTCTCGCAGGGGCCCTGGCAGTGGTGAACGCACTGGTCAAAGTCGGCAGTGCAACATGCTGGGATGGAACGGATGGCCTCAAAAGGGCCCCCAGTAAAAGCTGCCTGGAGCTGTGGGCACCAGCGCGGATGCAGAGGGTGCTCCATCCAGGCGCTCGCGGCTGCCGCCGTGTGGCATGCCGTGGAATAGAGCATGCTCCACAAGAGCTGGCTGCCGACGTCTAGCTGCTCAGACTATCAGTCCGTCGCCTGCGGGTTGGTGCGCAGCGGAAGGCGGGGGGGGCGCCCGGCGAGCCATCTGGCGGCGCTCCACGTCCCGCGCGCCCCCCCCCTTGTTCCACGCGCGTCGCGCAAGTGCGCGCTCCCCCCGCGTCTCGATCGCGCGCCTGCCTGTCAGATCTCCAAGCTCACCGCTGATAGCAATGTCGACACTGAGCACCGCGATTTGAGAAGTGGCCGAGATTAGTTCACGTTCGATCAATATCTGGACATTTCCCAATTTCCATCTGCCCGAGAAGAGGTTCAGCGCAAAAATCGCGGGCCTGCGAATTCTGCACGGAACAGGTTGAGCAACGAAACCTTCTAGTCCCGGAGCCTGCGCCCCCGGAATCTGTCGGCGAACCTTGGGTCCTCTTGTGCTGGTGGGTCGTCGGCATGCTTGAACAGCCCCTAGCATTTGCTCGGGGCCTCTGGATATACCTCGCAACAAGCCCCGGAGGCATGGGGGGCGGGGGGGGATGGGAGGGAATCCTTCGCTTCATGCTCGGTGAAAAAAAAGGCTGCTGGAAGCGTGGCCGACGGGCGCAGCCCGTCGGGTGGATGCTCGACTTTGGCTGGGCAAGCGACTCTCCATCTGCCCAGCCCTTCCTTCTCCTGCCTGGCCAGACCCCCCATCTCCTGGAGTCGAGATTCCTCGGCGCGCTCTGGGCCGAGAGCAGCGCCGCGAAGAGAATATGCGAGACTACGTTTAGGGGCATCGAACGAGGGGCGGTCTCTCAGCAGTCTCCTGCTGGCAAAAGAAGCTGAGCATGCCGCGCGCGTGGCCCCATCTCCCATGCATCGCGATGCGATATTGACCTGGCTGTAGTGCGCGCGCGTCGTGCTGTCTGAGGCTTTCGTTGAATGTGCCCCGACGTCCGCGCCGCGTGCGCTGTAGTTCTGGAGCCGGAGCAGGGGTCAGGTAGAGTGGGCGCCCTGGGTCGGCGATGGGGATGGGGCTCCTGCTGGCCTTGCCGTGTCGAACAACTGGCTGGGCGCGCGCTTGGCCGGGGCTGCTCGGCCCATGGCCTTCGCCTCCGCTGCCATGGCGAAGTTGAGTCCGCGTCTCCAGGCAAGCAGCGAGTGCAAGATGCGTCGCCCCCACTCTGGGGGGTCTCCCCGCGGGCCTGGCACCTGCATGCAAGTCGCGAGCGCACTGCGCAGCCATGTTGGGCCATATATGATGCGATGAATCCAGGACATGCCACGCCGCATAGCTGCAGCGCGATACACATGCGCGACGAGACTGCGTAGTGTGGGAGCGCCGCGCGCAGTAGTCCATCGAGCAAGCGAAGCCTGTGGACGCGAAGCGCCGCGCTCAAATGGGCGCGCCCGGATAGGGCCAGCACGTACGCGTAGCGCGCTGCATTCTCGCCCTGCTGCATGAGTCGTAGCACCTGCCTGTATCTGTTGAGCACGATGTGCTGTGGGTGCGCATGCTGCGCCTCCGATAATGTAGGCCAGGTATCCACATTATAGAATAGACCCCTAAAGAGCCGCGCATCATAAAGGTGTAGTGCCGCCACCCTGGGTAGGGCGCTGTCTGCTGCGGATATCCGTCGTCGCAGTTGTTGGGCCGAGGGCTGGACGGACGCGCGCACATGCTGAGATACTCCTGCCCTTTCCAACAGTGCAGGGTGGTTGGAGATGCGTTGCTCGAGAGTTTC